ACATACTTATTTTCGGAACACAAGCGGTTCTCCGACTGGTTATTGAATAATGAAAAGATGCATTGTCATGCAATACAAAACATTTGGAATACGTTTTCTGGCTGAATAACGTAAGATTAAAAGTCATCTGCTTAATTCACATCCATTTACAAGTCAACTACTCGGGCAATTGCAGAATCGTTTTGATCCTGAGCTTGTAAGACAAACCTAATATCACTGGATTTAAACACTTCTTTAATCTTCCGAGAACGTTCCTTCTTTAGCTCATATTCCAAGAATATTAAGTGAATACAATTATTGCCAAAGAAATTGAATATTCATTTGCACTACGGCTTGGTAGTTTACTAACGAGTTAACAAAACTTAAATTCTGCTTTTTGTGTCTAAGAATACAACAATATTTTAAATATTTACAAATAAAATATTAAATTGGAGATTTAATTGGAGCCTCATCAGTTGCCTAGCATTTGAAAAAAAAAAAAAAAAAGATTGTTAAATACTAATTGTTTGCTGCTCAGTCTAACCCAGGCTGCATGGTTGGTTTTTCGTAGTTTTTTAGGTTCTCTTTACAAAGATTCTCTATGAAAGCATCTTAATCAAATAGCTCCCATGTTCTTTCTATGTTCAAATAACCAACTAACCTAGTTTAAGCGCGATTTCCAAGTGAAGTTACTAGTAAAATCCGAATACTCATTAAAAATCATGTAGCTAGCCAATCGGGAGTAACATGAAAGATACGCGCCAATAATTGAAATGTTGTTACGGTACGCTGTTTCTTAACTTAGATGGTCATTCCTTAATTAAATAGCCCACCAACGGCCGAGCGGTAAAGACGCTGAACACTGGTAGTTCAGTTCGAGGTTCGAATCCCGCGAACGGGCTGGCCGCATGGGCGGTTTTCGTGGTTTTCCCCATGTGTAACGTGTATACGAGCCAGTTTCCCTTAGAAAGTCCTCCACGAAGGCATCCCTCCCTTTAGGCAGATAGCCCTCGTGTGCTTTGCCATAATTAAATAATCCAATCCAATCCTTAATTAAATATAATTGATTTGTAAATTCTACTAGAACTGACGGTAAGAATTGAAGTGGAAATAAAGTAATATGGTGTGCAATCTTGATTAATATAAAATTAAAAATATTTGCATAGAAAAATGTTTGTATTCAAAGTTTTTTGAAATATTTGCAATTACTTTATAAGAAGGATTTATTAATAACCGTAATAATTACTTATTATATTACTGATGATTAGGATTCAGTTCTTGTCAGTTACATTCTAAATTAGAATTTTAGGGATATAATGAAAATACGCTACGCACAAAAATACATTTTAGGAAAAAAAATGAGTTGATTTTTTATATTTTTAAATTTTTAAATTCATTTAGTAAACATCGTATCCTCGTTGTTTATTGAATCCAGAATGTTGGTGTCGTTTATATAATTATTCTTACTTGTCCACAGAATCTGCTGACTTATCCAGCCATTAAGTAGCTGCAGATCATTTCTACATAACCATTGAACTTCCATTAATTCAGTCTCTAGAGGGTTGTATGTTTATATCATAATTTGACTTTTATAAAAAATGATTATTCTAAATATTATGTTTCTATAAAAATATATTGTGCTTTAAAAATATGGATAATAGTATCAGCCGCTCTTTCAGCCACTTCAAAGCAACAGTTTGTTTAGAAATAAATTATGCAGTTAATGTCATAAAATTCAAATAAATATCAAACGAAAATTCTCAGTTTTAGACAATTCGATTTAAACGAAGTAAAGTAGCAGACGATAAAACGCCGAAGGTAAAAATTTACTCTTACAAAAACTTACTCTTAAATTTTTTTAAAAAAGAAAAGATACGAGAGAAATTTAAAAAAAATAGTTAAAAATTTGAATAATATCATCTATAATTTAAAAAATAGCCTTTCATATAGTATTAATAAATATTTATTACGCATCATTGAGGGAAAAAATGTCATATAATTAATTCTCCGTAAAATTTTACTTGAAGTTTAAGGTTAAAAATAGCTGTGGCAATTCAGTGTAACAAAAATCCATAGACCACATTTGGCGTTATTATCGCTCAAAAAAAAGGTGCCAAATTTCAAAACGCGAAATTATGTAAATTCGTGTATATCTTAGAAAATTTTGAATAAAAAAGTCTAATTTTTTTGCAGATATGCTTAAAAATACACCTACTTTAAGATGATGGTAAAAATTTTATAGGTTATAGTTCAAACTTTTTTTCGAAAAATCTATAGAAATTATTTAAAAATAGATATTTAAAAAATAAAACGCAAAAAATGGGTAAATTTTATTTGGAATGAACCAAAATTTCGAAATGTGAGAAAAAAATCAAAAAAGTTTAATAAAAAAAGAGATATATTAATAAATATTTGCCAAATTCAATTAACATTGAGGAGCTAAAATTTTGAGAGCTAATATTTTAAAAACTATTCGTACGATTTTTACAAAACTTGGTATTCTGGCATAATTTGAGTCGTAGAATCGAAATATGTAAAAAAATTGGTATGTTATTTCAGAAAAAGTCCGATTTTTGTGTCAAAATACCTATGTTAGAATAGTGCTATATATAAATCTAATATATATCCTAAGTCGCGCTTTCGAGACATGAAAAACGCAGTTTGAATTTTGTCAATCGGCCCAGTAGAACGGGAGATATAGCACTGTCCCCATTTTTTTTTTTTGAGCAGTGTACATCCTTTATACTTTTTCGCGATCACGATTTCATATATTTTACCGAGTTTAAAGATTCACAGAATTTTTTGCATTTTCGTACAAATTTTGTAATTTATGAAAAAGCAGTGTAGATGGATAAAATTAAGAGTGTGTGCAATGCCATTTTTGTGCAATTCTGGGATTTTTTTTTTAAGTAAAAATAAGTCGATGTGTAAATTGTTTATGTGTATGTGCTATTCTGAAAAACGCGCAAGGAGTTTGCAATTGTGCACTTTTTCCCAATTTTGCAGTTAATATTTGTCATGATTAAGCAGTTTTGTTACATAAATTTCTAGCATAAGTGTAATTCGGCTAGTAGATTGTTGGAAAAAGTGTTCAGTAAATAAAAAGAAAAGAAACATGTCTTTACTTCGTGAAGACAAAATGGTGGCAAAAAAAATAGAGGGTTGCTGTAGCAGAGTTGGTCGCCAAAAAATCGCCAAGTTACCATAATCCAAAGATCAAACAAAATTTCAATTGACAAATTAGTCGGTATTCTCAACACAGCAATTATAGGACTTGAACAGCGGAACTTTGTAACTGAAGAAGAAATTATGTCTGTTTATCGAATTAAAGAGAAAGTATTAACACATAAAACGAAGCAACTTAAACAACTTACATTGAAAGAAATGTTTAATAAAATAAACAAATAAATATTAAGTTTTTTTTTTGTAAATTTTGATACCCTTTAGATCATAATTTTTCTTTATTTCATAATTTATGGTTTCATATTTTTAATTTTATAATTTCTACATGCCATCTTACCAGATTTAAACTGATGATCTATAATCCGGAATCGCCGAAGTCCCGACGAGTCCGGATTAACGACTTTTGACTGTATTAGGTGTTCTGTTTGAGGGAAAGAAATGCACATGATCAAATGTCAGAAATGTATACGGTCGTAGTTATAGAGGATATGTTTTACTCTTATTTTGTAATTTAATGTGGCAACGCCACTATACAGATTCTAGTTCAGATAATTTTAGGAAGTTTTTGGATACTGTTAAGGAATTTTGTTTGACTGAAGACGTGTTAATTTGTAAATAAAGTAAATGGATATTTCCTTTGTGTAGTGCAAAGATGAATTTCCTTTTTTTATGTTATTTCATTGATTTAAAATGTAGTTTATTGACATTATATATATTTTTTGTTGGCTGTCCTTTTGACTTTTTAAGTGAATATAGTTCAATGTGTACATGGACGAAGTCAAGGGAATGTGCAAAGCCTAGTTTGTGCAATTTTCCGATGTTTTTTAAGTGAAAACAGGCCAATGTGTACACGGATAAAGTCAAGGGAGTGCGCAATGCCATTTTTGTGCAATTCTGGGATTTTTTTAAGTGAAAATAGGTTGATGTGTACACGGATATCGAGTTTGTGCAGTTCTTTGTCATTATTTTGGCTTTGTCTAGTCGCAATTTTTGGCCAAAAATCTCCGCTTAACATGTCAAAGAATTGCACAAACTCAGTATCAATGTACCACCAAAAATCACTATGGGGTACCCGTAAATACACTTTTACCATAGAATTACTCTGAAATTTCTATTGCCAATTTTTCATCAATATCACCGTTTCAGAAAATAACATTCTAAGTAATTAATTATTTCAACTGGACTTCATCACCATCTCTTATTGCTATCAATACAGGCAAATACTTCCTGAAACTTATACATCAGCATAGGGTTTATGCTCGAGGAACCCGAAATGTGAACCTAGGTTCAGCACACATAGTTAATAAGATGATAAACTATTTGGTGCAAACTTAATGGAAGATATTTGCAGATAAAGAAAACTGTTGATTATTTCAGTAGGAAAATGGTGTTGCACATAATAATGCTTGAATAATTTTAAATTTCAGAAGATAATCGAAAATGAAATATTACGTTTGAAAATAAATCTTTTACTGTTAAATACAAATCTTGATTCAAGTTGTATTCATTACATTACACATTTATATAAATAAAAACTTAAAAATAATATGTTCCCATTTGCATGGAACAGCAAATGAAATATAAAACTCTTAATCAGGAAAAGAGCATTCTTTATACATTAAAAAAGATACAGTTTAGCATGCAAAACAAAACACATTATTAGAAATCTACATTTCTAAAAATATGTGATGATACATAATAAATATATCACAAAAGGGAATAAATTTGTCTTTTTGAAAATCATCCACGATATAACAACAATATATATGTGTAATGTGGTTTAGGTTTCATGTTATGAATAATCATTATTTATGTTTCTAATATTATACATCTATTAATTTTTCTTCACAGTAATTATAGATTTTATTTATTACAGTCTCTTAATCAACCAAGTTTCATTAATGCTTATAGATTTAAAATTTTCAAGATTTAAACTTCTTTTCGGGACAAAATTAACTCTTTTGAAGTTCTGCCTTTCTTTTAATAGATAATGCTCTGCAAGTCAATTAATATGATAAACCAAAATCAGATGACTGAAACTGTTTTAAGATCTAACAGAGTAAAATTAGGCCATTCATGTACAATTTTAACCAACACCATTGTACATATTATCATAAAATGAAAAAAGAAAAAGAAAAGAGGATGAATGAATAAATTGATTGTATGTAATGTAGCAAAAGTTTTCAGTTACATAATTATAATTGAAAATTTTTGTTACGTTTTCAGCTGGACGAATACCATTTCACGTGGATACAAATCAACTTCTTTTAGTGTTTTGCACAAGTCTAACTGGCACAAATTTCGACGAGGGTAGTTGGTAACTAATTCATATTGTTCTGTATCATAACCTAGTTCCTCCAGATACAAAAGTAATGATTTAATTTTTGTTGTGCATGGCCATGTGATTTGTTCTCGTTTGCCATTGGGAAGGCGCAAAACAAGATCCGTTTTGGGATCGTCCTCACTTCCTAGATGTTCCTTCCATGAATTCTGGCATTTAAAGGCATCCTTATCATTGCTTTCAGTGAATCCAACAACATCAATAGTATCATTGGAATGGTCAGAGTTTGAATTAACATCACTCGCTTTATTTGCTTTCATACTTGTACTTTCAGAGTCAGAATCAAATGTTTCAAAATCACTGTCATTATCATCAACATTCACTAATGCTGCATCTTTCAAAGATGCTTCAAGAGCTGCTTTTAGTTGGGATTCTTCACTTTGGTCTAAAAGACTACACTTTCTAGTGGGTGCAGTAATGCTTGTGGATGAACCATTGGGAGAACATGAATTTTCCAAAAATATCTGAATAAGTTCACAAATTGAAGTAGCATCTACGTGGTGCCACTCTAGCAACTTTTCACCAGTTCTGGGATCAATTATGGCAATGTATGGAAACTCAACAAGCTTGTAGAACTGCATATACCTTTGACCATCTATACTATCACTGTAGACTTGCCAAAACACAAAATGCTGAGATATCAGTTCTTTTACAGTTGGGTTGCTCCAAACGTCACGATTTAAAACTTGGCACGAAAATTCTTGTGAATCCTGTATGTTGACCATCAACCAACGGTTTGACGTTTGCCCAAAATCTCTGGCAGAATCAAAAGTTCCTCTGTGCATGATATCAAGTGGAGGCCTAAACAAATCTTCTAAAGTACGTCTTTTCTTGAATGTTTCAGTAGTTTCAGCAGTTGAAGTAAGTTCTTGCATCCTTGCTTCTGCCTGAAAATCGCGAAATCCATCAAATACTGAATGAGGTCTACGTTTTCTTCCACGCAAACCATATTGAAATCGTATATCATCTTCGACAAGTACGGCTCTTGATTGAGGTATTGGAGGACGTATACCGTCATCCTCAGAAGGAATAGAATTATTTTCGTTAACACATACGTTTTCTTGGTAATCGGAATCAACATGCATGTTCACTGCCATTTCTAGATTCCAGTTACATACTTCCAACATTTTGATGGCCTTTTCTCTATCAGATCCGGTAACTGAGCAAAACTGCTCTATAAGAATAGAATTTGGTTCCGAAGGCGAATGTGAATTGGATGTTGAAGCCATATCGAAAGCTTATACATGTACTGCTATATACCTCATTCGTGTTACTGCTTCAGAAGTACCATACGATGAAATCAGCCATCTTTGTTGATGATTAAAACTCGGTAACCAATCAGCGCGTTGCATGACGTTTTCGGAATTTTATTGCGTAATTGTTTTCGAATCCTCTTAAAAATAAGTACTAATGAAAATATGTAGAATAATTATTCTTAAGTATTAATATTAAAATTTTAGTACCACTTTTTTAATTTTTCTGTTATGTAACTCTTTCTAGCAGTTACAAACGAAGGGGGTGTAGCTCAGTGGTAGAGCGTTCGCTTTGCATGTGAAAGGCCCCGTGTTCGATCCCCGGCACCTCCAAGTTTATTTAACATCTTTTTTAGGCACTGCTAACCTAACCCTACGAAAAACCAGACTTAGTGTTGTACTTATTCACAGTGTTAGGTTTTCTGACGGAAGTACTTATGTTCTTGCAGTAAAACTAAAAATACAATGTTGTTTCAATTCGATTTCAGTAAAATTAATTTTTTTCCCCTTTTGTGCAGAAAATGAATGCAGAAAAATGTGATAATAGGAACGAAAGAAGATAGTGAACTCTATTGCGTATGTATCTAATTTGCATTAATGCATATATATTTGAAAAAGTAAATGAAATGTCTGTACGGAAAATGAACTGTTCCATGTAGAAACAAATTAAACAGAGCAACAAGTACAAAAATTCCATTTCTTTCACATCAAAAAATCTTAGAAAAGGATTCTTCAAGTTATAGGTTATAGATGTTGAGGGAGTAAGTGGGGGTGTAGCTCAGTGGTAGAGCGTTCGCTTCGCATGTGAAAGGCCCCGGGTTCGAACCCCGGCACCTCCAATGTCTGCTTTTTTTTTTGTACTCGTCGTATAATTTAATGCAAAATGGATAACAATTTGTGTATGAGGTAACTGAAACAAGTTTTTTGGTGTAAATTGAGGTGGATTGATTCATACACTGTATAAACATACAAGTATAAAAGCAGCATAAATAATTTTTGAATAAAACATCTTAATAATTAACGATACCTACAATAAAAAACGCAATAAGTTCCTAAAATTGGCGGAAAAAAAGAGAAAATAAGTTAGTGTTAAATAACCGAAGGGATTTCGTTTGTAATTCGTTAATTACTAAAAACTTTTTAACATGTGGAAAACATCTGAAATGAAATAGTTAGATTTATATGTGGCGTTCAGAAGAAAAAAAAAGGATATTTTGTTTCATTATCGGGTTTTCGTGTTTAAAATATCTGAAAAAAATATATATATTTGCAAGTCAAATATGAGGTATTTTATGAAAGTAAAAAATTAAGAAAGCAGTAACATCTCAGTACAATAGATGGCAGCACCTGTAAGTTTACATTTTGAACTACACATCTGAGTTGATGACGAAGAAAAATTTTGCTATTAAAAGAAAGCCCAGTTTCATGGAAAACGTAGGAATATTAAGCTAAATGAAAATATTAATGTCTAACCCTTTAAAAAGAGAGACAGTTAATATTTCATAAGATTGAGTAAATATCTTTTTCAGAGGTATGTAGTTTAACCAATTCGTTTCTATTATGGACCAAATTTTTTTATTATGAACAAATAAGATTTTAAATTAAATATTTTTAAAATTTAGGCGCTACTTTGGTATATAGTAAAATATAACTTCATTTCTAGGCAAAATGTAATCAGATTTTGATAGACGTTTTTAAATTTTCGTACAAATTACAATGAAAATGATTCATTTGCAATTTTTGTACATAATTTTAAAGTAGATTAATTGCAACTTCATGTTTTAGTTTTTAATTAAAGATCTATTTCAATACTTTTCCAGTGTTCAAAGCATATGATTGTCTAATCTGATGTAAAGACCAACTATTGTCAATAAATATACATTACACGTATCTTTAATGTAGTTTTTCTTAATCAATCCGATGATTCCTTTGAATTGAAATCAACTCCAAATTAAAGTTTCATTATATTAATTCTTGCAGTCATAAACAATTTAAAAGAAATCCTTTTTGCATGCATTTCCTTTCTGAAAAATATTGGCTTAAAATACTTCATTTTTAGATAAAATCACAAATATAAAATTTTATAATATTCTGTTGAGATACTTTGCGGAACAGATCTTACTTTTGTGATAGGATATACTTAAAGTTTGTAAAATTAATTATTTAAATAAATCTTTATGACTGATTGGGATGGAAAATTTAATATGGGTAATGAATGAAAAAGTTGTAACTAAATTGCACACTTCCTTATTATAGTGACCCCCAAAATTTAATTGTTAATCAACAGAGATGTAACATGTAGTGAGATATACGAACACATGATGAGATTTTGGCGAGTTATCTTAATTGATTAGCGATTTAGTCTTGGGGCACTATAATAAGGAAGGACTATAATTTAAAGAAAGGGAAATGTTAATTTTATGGTGAACTACCACTACTTAACTCCTGCTAGAGTGAATTAGAGCACATTCTTCATTTCAGGCAGAAAGCATTATTTTTGCTTTAGTTTTTCATCCAAATGAACTCTGAGACTTTTTTGTTTCAATATAATATGAGGCTGTATATTATGAAAAGTTTGGTATTTTTCTATTACTAGGACAAGATTCAGAAATGCATGTATGTACATGTGTGTATTACAATTGGCAGATAAAAAAAGTGCATCACCTGCAAAAAAGTTGAAAAGTGTGTAAATAGCATGTTTCGTATATGTATATGTTTTCTATAAAGATAATATTTTTATGATAAAATAAAGTTGTAAGATTAATCTTAATAAATTTTTATCAAGATTAATAAATTATTTGTACCTAATTACTCAGTAAAATGCTATATTTAACAAAATGCAGAACAAAGTAACTGATACAAAAATTTTGTAGGTAATGAAAATCCTACTTAACTGCAGTCATATTACACGTACTTAGATGTGTATACACATATAAAAAATCTTTTTACTATTTAACATATTATTCCATGAACTGTGATAACAGCCCTACAGCAGTCAAGTATGGAAGATATCAACTTCTGAATGTATTACTGGTCAGTTTCGTCAGTTTCATGGATGCAAGCCCTAATAATGCTTTCCTGCAGTTTAATCTTAATAGCAGGCTTCTAAGCAGCAATTTAAATGGAATTCAGATCAGGTCTATTTTCAGGGCAGTCCAAAACTTTAATATCAGATTTTGTCAGACAGGCCTGAAAAGGTTAAATGGGAGGACAATTACTTTTTTAATATCAGTTACGATGTGATGATGAAAGCTTGTAAATGAGGGAACAAAATCATGCATAAATAAGGTAAATCGTATATGCCGATTTTGCCATATGGCAGGGCACATAATCTTGATGAAAAATGCAATTTCCAGCACCTTTAAAATGATCCTGAATAACTGGCTTTAAACACTTCTCCAAGATGTAGGTATGAACTGCTGAGGCATTCAGTCTCTTTGCTGGATATGCATCCCTAGACCATTTGGCAGTCTGGGAATTTCACAGTAGACATTATGCAGTATAGATAATAAGCTTCATTTTTATGTCTCTGAAAGTACAGCTTACTATCCGATCCATATAGGTTGAATTTAGATTCATCCGAAAAATTTATGGAATCTTACTGAGCCTTTGTCCATGAAACATGTTCTTTTGTTCAAGAAAGTCGCTTCTGCATCATTTTTGTTTTCGTAAGTAAAAGCCTTTTTGTTGGGGGATACACATACAGATTGCATTCTGCAAGGCATCTTTGGACAGTTAATGTGCACAGTCTTTCTCAAATTCAACTCTTAAATCGGCAGTCCAGCTCTTCTCTCATTGGGTTCTAATGTGACTCTTCTCTCTACATCACCAATTTCACGGTTTAATTGCTTTTGAAACTATCAGTTGATTGCAGCCGGTTGTTATTCTCAGCAGTCACAAATGCCAAATATCCTTCTTTATCTAAATCCACTGCTATACATTTTTTCCCTTGCATCAGTTGAACATACAGAGCCACACTTTCATTGTATAAAGAAAGAGATGAATGACCGTTTTCGTGTACAAATGTTTATTTTTCTAGGTGATGCAGGTTTCGCATCTGTCACTGTATGTGTATACATATGTACACACATGCATATATACATACTTACATACACACCCACACATACATACATTTCTGAATATGGTCTCGATAACAGAAAAGTACCAGAAGTTCTTAGATTCATGAATTCCAAATCATTGAACTTGCTTGAATTGAAAATATTGAAAGACCAGTCAATAACTTTGACAATGTTTTGTAAATAATATCTTGAAATCAAAAGCAAAATCAATTAGATTATTTAAGAATTGATTACATTTTTTTAGTCAAATAAAATATTCAAAATTATAAATACAGGTCTAATGTTTTAACCAACTAACATATTTATTCTATTTAGTAATTTTATTACGTACAGTGGCTCATGTTTGATCTTGTACTAAATACTGAAACATAGACTCTAGAAATTTTCCAATATTCCTTCTCTGTTTTAAGGCATACTTACAAAATAATCCTAGCAATAAATTAATTTATTCAAAAATTGTTAATCAAAAACTCGCATAACAATTTGGACACTAGAGAGTTTAAATATTTTGGCAGGCTATGTTTCTTGCCCTAACTTTTTGTTCTAGGTGAAAGTACATCACAAGAATTATCATCTGCATTTGGAAATTATTACTTGTTTAGTAAAATATAATAACAGTTCTATAGCTGAGTATAGCAAGACCCTGCAAATTAATGACAAATTATGTTAGAAATTCGACTATCCACCAAGAGTATTCAAAACACCCAAAAAATCCTTGATATTAAAAGCTCAGTTACCTTTGGTGTATTAAAACAATATAAACTGTATGTTCAAAATGCCCTGAAGTCTGGACTACATTCTAAACTAATATGAAAGAAATGGATCAATACAAATTGGAATCAAACAAAACCAGAAAATTGGTCCTGTAAAATTTGCAGTGGATTTAGAAGAACAGTTAGCAATAAAAGTTAACACATGGGTATAACGGGTGATCAGCAAGAAGGAAATTATTTGCATGGAAGAAAGCAAGGAAAATATGCCTGCCATTCACAAAAATCAATGGTAAGAGCAAATAATACTTATCATATTGAACCAATGCTATAGTTCCAGACAAACTTAAAATTTAATATATTTGGAGTCTTATAAATGAATTTCTGTACGACGAAAGCCATATGAAGAACTGAATTTGAAAAACTTGAAATACAAAATACATTCAAGTTCTATCAGGATTACAATACTAAACATACTAACAAACTAAATGTTCACTTCTGGTTATTATACAAATATTTGAAAGTTATCAGAATTCCTTCATATTCATCAGACTTATATCCTATTGAAAATGTATGGGATGAGTTGGAGGAAAGAATAAGGAAAAATGATATTTCTTCAAAAGCTCTGTTAAAAGCAATTCTTACGGAGGCATGGAGAATTCTTACATGAAAAAAAAAATAGTTCAGTTCAAAGTGCATGAAAAATGTAATTTTAATTAAAAAATATTCAACAAAATATTGATTGTCATGTTGTTCATGTTTTTATTAAGTATAAATAATTCAAAGTGTCTGAATACTTCTGCGAGTTCAGAACATTCTGGATAAAATATTTTTAGTTATTCATATAAAGAATAATATAAAAGTAGTCTGCTTAAAATAATTATAAAAAATAGTTTATTGAAAATATTGCAGAACCTTTTGAATAAACTATATTTTTTACCCAAAACAGCGTCAATATTATTTTTCAAAACAAGCAGGTTAAAAAAAAAAAAAAAAAAAAAGCTGATAGTAGTATATGTGAAAGAAAAATAATGTCAGTTAATAACTGGATCCAGCAGTCCAGTATCCAAAGCAATGAATGAAAAAACTGTTGCCAAAACCACATTGCTAAAAGAATGAAACTGTCATCAATGCTTTGTGGATGACATTATTCAAAATATACAAACCTCTTTGCCATTAGCTAATAAAGAGAGAGGGGGGCAAAAGGGAAATTCTTTCTGTTGTGCCTCGCAAGACACATGTGCGTCAGAATAAGAAGATTGCGATGCGCATGTTGCGTGCCCAAAAATCAAAAGAAAAAAAAGCAACATTTTATCTCATATTTTGAAGTCAGCAGTCCAGTATACAAAGCATTGAATGAAAAATGTGGCCAAAACCACATTTCTGAAAGAATGAAACTATTCAAAATGATGCAGTTTCATCAAAAAAGATAAAATTAAAAAAAGTCTGATTTGAATTTCGAAGAAATGCTTCGAGGTGCACTGGCTCTTGTCTAGATGCATCTATATGCCAAATTTCGGAGCCCTGGGTCTATTAGCTTATCCACAGCAAGAACGAAAGACACACAGAGATTCTTTTCTATTATGTGTAGAGATAAATTTCAAAGACTGGCAGGTGGATGCTGTTCTGCGAAATGATGATAAATAAGATATGCAAATTCACATGTATTCAAGTATATAAATGGTATGCACATGTCTGTTAGCAAATGTATACCTAAAAATATATGGGGGGACGGGGAGAACATAGCAGTTCTATTGAAAATTGAAGCAAGGAGGTGTATAATCAGAAAGTATCAAAATTTCTTCTGTTGAAAAGTCAAAGCTAGGCATGTAGGCGAATAGATTGTTGGAGAAATTTGATTTTGGAAATTATGTTTTTACTCAGCTGCCAGTGATTTGCTTTTTTTATTTCTAGATATACTAGTCTTAGAAGTAATTTTTGCTGTCAGAGGTTGGCTTTAAAGTTCTATCTCCAAAGAATATTAGCTAATACTAGGATTTACTAACAAAGCAAACAAGCGTCCTTCCCTCCCCCAAAAACTTCCACTTTGACACACTTTCTTCCAGATATTGAATTTGTATGATCTTAAATCTCTGAGATTGAGTAATGCTAAATTAAGTTGTCCTCATGGATATCCTTCCCCCCACACACCCTGTCATGTCAATGCCTCAATCTGTCATGTCATGATGTGGTAACGAATTAAAATTACCTTTCTAAAAGTGTTTTGAATAAGAAAAATCTAAGAAATCTTACTTGTGATTATAAATTCCACCATCATGCTGAAAATAAAAACCACACTAGATCAAAGCTTACAAGAATTTAAAGCTTTATAGACGAGTAGCATATGATCCACATCTACGAAAATTTCATCGTATATTGAAACACTCTATCATTAACTAATCTTGAGATTAAGAATTTGAAATTTTGCAGTTGTCTTGTGATCTGCAAGGCTACTGTATGCTTTGTTATGAAATAATCATTTCTTTGGAATTTAAACCATTGTATTTGCTTTGCTATAAAATAATCATTTCTGTGTTTTATAAGGAATAATTTTTTTGTTGTTGCATTTTACTGCAAGAGTCACTATACAGTTATTCTCATTCTAAATTCTGAAGCTCAAAATTATGATAGGTAAGCATCATACATGATACAAAAGTGCTGCTTTTATAATTATTGATATTTAAATGGTTAAGATATCAGTTTGTTTTTAGTTATGGCTGATTTTCATGCAGGCTGAATCCAGAGCCGTTATGCTAAGATATATTTCTTACAATAAGACGTATCAGTGTTTTTCTGTTATCATGGACTGGGTCCAGAAATGTATTTATGTATGGATGGATGTGTCCATGTATGTATGTACCTGTGTACTATGTATTTGTGTGTGTACACACACGCATATATGCACATATACAGTGAAAATCGTTTAACACGAAACTGAGGGGAATAAATATTTTTCGTGTTAAAGGATATTTAAAAGAAACATATATTCAACAAAATTAAGTTTATTAGAGTACATTTTATTTACATAGATATGTTTATATGCATGTATTTAATAAAAATCAGCGAAACAAAAACATCCACAAGAACGTAATGAAACTTAATACAAAATTTTAAAGTTTTTTTTTTTAAAAAAAAAAAAAAACATTTATTGAGTTTTTGGAAAATAGTCTTATATTTTTCTTTGCATTATCTTTTTAGCATCAAATTGTTAAAAAAATTGTTCAATGTCGATCCTCTTTGTTATTCATTTCACCATTGGAATATGCATCTAAGTAACTGCGCATACTTTTCATGGAGTTCCTCATTTCGGATGACATGGGAACAGGAGCTGCATTATTCATTTCATTTTCGTGATCGGAATCTGCATCAATGATATTTTTTTAGCTTTGAACAATCTCCAAAATGTCTTTGTCTGCCATAATTAGGGCTGTACACACATTATCATTAACTGCCACAAATTCTTCCGGTAATACAGTAGGGCAGTCTAATAATACAGTAACTTTCTCAAACATTTCATAAGTGTGTTGTCTCAATTTCAATATTCTCCTTCTCCATTTCTTTTGGCGCCAAAGAATCTGATGCTTTTGAGAAACGTGCATGACAAAAACAATTTTCATTCATCTTTTGAGTCGCTGAATTCCATACAGAGTGCAACATATGAACCAAACTCATAGATTTTTACTCACATTACGATGTACTCGTCACCGAATTCCAAAGCCAACTGATGAAAGATGAGATGTTTGTGTGGTGTTTGTAGGAGTGAAAGGTGAGAGTAACTTAGATAAACAAAACTGGCTTGTGTCATAGGCTATTCCTAGGGTATTTCAAAGCCAAGTTAGCCTCCTTTCTACGAAACATGTGAAACCACCTTTCATTTCACACTTCTCTTAAATCTCGCCTGCTAGGCCGGTGTTTTCCGTATTTTGTTCATTCCAAGAAAGGCAGGATCATTGTATTATTTCGTGTTAACTGATATTATATTTTATTGTAAGCGTTTTTGCATTAAATGTATTTCTTTACTTACACTTCTAAATTTGATCCTGATAACAGAAAAGTACCAAAAAATCTATAGATGTTTATTTATAGAAATGTATTTATGATACCTTGATCATGATTTCCATATGGGGCATGTATAAGAAGGAAATATAAGAAAATTGAGCAATTAAGTACTATATGCATATAATTTGATAGTACTAGCAATGCAACTGTTCTTCACACTGGTGGGGGGGATATTTTCATTCAGTACTTAGTTCACAGAAATATAAAGCGGGGAAAAAATATCTTATTTTAAAAGATTCACTAAATATTAATAATAGCTGCTGAGCTTGTTTCAAGGACATGTAATATTGTTTTATTATTTTAGAAGTACTTATTGGCCATGAGCCACTGTTTGAATCTGTATATGATGTCTTTCCAGGAAATTTAAAATAACATTGTTTTTTAAAAACACAAAAAAATGCCATTCTTTGGTTTGTTGAATATTACTAAAATATCTGTATATAATGTAGTGGTGCAAATTAAAAAATTCCTTTTATACGCAGTTTGTGGATCTGGTGATCCATTTTTTAAGCGATATTTGTTGTCTAATAACACTGCACTTTTTCATCTGGGATAGTATAAAACATGAAAACTTAAAAAATTTTCAAACTACTCAGGATGTACACACCTAAATTTAAACTATAATGACCCATGTTATATTTAAATATTTTATATAATTGTTTTCAGTAACTCCTACTGATTGTTATAAGATTGACTACATTATAAATTGGTCATATGTGGAAATGAATTAATTTTGGTAATCAGTATAGTGAGTTGCTGTAATTAAATAATAATTTTTTCTCTTTTAAATCAAGAATATTTATTTTTATTTTATAAGTACCGAAATGGGATATTTTTGAATATACTACACAGTATGTAACTATTAGAAGTTCTGTATGGTTTTATACAGATCTTCAATTATACAGATATTTAATTAGCCACATTATGAAAAAATGAGCTGTAGTTCTTGAGACTTCTAAGAAGTTTTCTTATTAAAAATTTCATGTTTAAGGGAACTCCAAATTGACTTTTTTTATTTAATAAATGGGGAAAAGATATTAAAAAAATTACATAATATTTTCATGTATTATAAGGAAATCATAATTATCTTCTGACTGAAAACATGAAGTTATTTTTTATTGCATGTAGGTCTGAAATATTTTTTGAGAAACAGACTAATCGGTTTCTGGATTTGAATTCATTAATTTAAGAAAACTGAAGATAAAAGATTGATTATTGTAGATAAATTAAATACAATTAATTTTTATCTTTTATGTTTAAATGCTAATTGATCCTTAATCAATATGCTAATCAAGAATTTTGTCAAATTGTAAGTGCATTAATTATTTAATTAGCTGTGTTTTTCCTTAAAAATTTTAAGACTTTTTTTTTAACTTGATTCTTTTGCTGAACATTTTTATGTTTTTAATATAACCTATTCATTACATAGTAAACAATATTTTTTCCCCCCAGATGTCTGATGAAGATGATTATATGTCAAGTGCATTTCTAGACGTCAAAGAAGATATACGTCCAGGTTTGATTTTCTCTAAAAGTGTGAAGAGGAAACATGAAATAGAAAAGAAAAAAGTAGAATCAAATAAATATTTTAGAACTAAATCAATCAAGCAGCTTGAAGAAGAACATCGAAATGCTGGTTTAGAATCTGCACTGAATTCGGAAAATAAAGGGTTTGCCATGCTTCAGAAAATGGGTTACAAACCAGGTATGAAGTTAGGTGCTCAAAAGGATAATTCTTCTGGTGCTGGATTATCAGAACCTATTAAAGTAAAAATCAAAACGGACAGAGGTGGTTTGGGTAGCGAAGAAGAAATTAGAATGAAAATCGAGGAACGTGAAAAAAGAAGGGCTGAAATTAAAGTGTATAAACAACAAGAAACTGAACTTTTGACAAAGGAATTTGTGGAAAGAATGAGGAATAAAATATTTTATAAACATTTAATGAGTGACCTTAGGAAGAGTCAGAAGGTGTGTGAACAACTAGATATTGAACATGATGTGAAAGAACCTATGAGAGATTGGTTTTGGTTTTCACAGGAGGAAGAGCATGAATCTGATGAAGATTTTGAGGAGGAGGAGGAGGAACAAGAGCTGGATCCTGAAGAACAATTGTATTTTATATTAGACTATTTGCGATCTAAATATTTATATTGTTTATGGTGTGGTATAAAATATGATAGTTCAGAGGATATGGATAAACATTGTCCAGGAACAGAAAAGTGTGACCACGATGAATGAATAAATATTTTGATCTTAATCTAACATGATAAAAACATTTTAAAATAATACAAAAAGTTTCTGCGAATTAATTTCTGTACCATGTATTATTTGTATATATAATTTAGCAATATTTTTTTCCACCATATGTGTTTGAAAGATTCTGTAGAATAAAAGTGTAATAAATAAAATGACAGTTTGATTTTTTAATTTGTATGGGTTTCAGAAATGAATGAGAATTCTTTATTATATAGAAATGTACATTATAAGTGCAAAAGCTGATGAAAGTCATTATCAGTTTAAAAATCTATCTTCTCGTGTTATAATTTGAATATTCCTTTTTTTTTATGCAAAATAAAGAAAGTTTATATTGTATCTTGGAAATTTTCTTCACTACAAAATACCTTTTATCCTATTGCAACATATATAACAATAATATAAAATTTCTAATTATTAGACACAAGCCCTAAATTAGCAAGTTATCTACATTACTGTTTTGAACTACATCATATAAGTGAAATATCAATTTAATGATGCAGTAGAATTTCATGTAACATTAACAGTTAACTGAAAAGCTGTCTAGAGATTTATGGTTACTTTTTTAGTGTCTGATCTTGCTGGATTATAAAGAGAAAGTTGGTGGATGTGTTCCAGGTTTTTTTTATTTATTTATTTATTTTTTTTTTATTGTCAGCTGTGACATTTTGCTAATTTCTCTAAAGAGAAAAAGGCTATTTTAATTTCTAATTTGGAATATTTTTGTGGACAGTTTTCTAGTTAATTTTTTTAATTATTCATCAAATAATACTAATATTTCATATGCCTATAAATTGTTATAATTATTTGCACATATATCGTTTTCATTTTTATGTTAATTTATGCATTATGTAAAATCTGTTTTAAGTTCCACAGAACTTGGAATGAAGGGAAAAAATTTAGTAATGTATTCAAAGCATGCTGTATTATGCCATTTGTCATAGTATTTCTTTAGTCTATCCATTTCCATTTATGTGGTGGAAATATATCTAATTGAATTGTTGTTATTGCACAAATTCTATGCGCTTCTAATTCTTTTGCACTGTTGTCTCTCCATGTGCACAGTGACCTGTGTGGACAGCCTCGACACAAAAAAATCCTAAAATGAGAAAAAATAAAAGAGGTAACAGAATTGTACTTTTTTTTTTTTTTTAATGATCTACATTATGCTGTATGCATGCAGAAACCTTAAGACTGAGATTTCACAAGAAATGACAAAAACAATACGCTTCCACCACTATGCTAGAATACTGAAATTCCCTTAGGAGGTATGTCTGCAGTTATACCAATGAAAATGTCAAAAGAAATGGAAAGTTGTCTGGCGGGGGAGGGGGAGAGTGCTATGTGCATACCTAGATTGCCATATAAACACTTTTTGGTAACATGGTTGAAACTGCCTTAGCAACACTTTTATGCCATTATTTTATCATGGTATATATAATCATATGTATCATTATTTGTACATTTTCAAGATTTTAGCATTTATCCACATTTTAACTATTTAGACTGCTTGTGTGCTCAGCTGAATTTTCAATTGTACCCCTATATTCATTGATTCAGCATCTGCAGTTTATCACAGTTACTATGTTACTACAAAGGTGAAGCCCCCAGCCAATGATTCAGCCACAAAGCATTTCGAGACCAGCCCGGCAAAACAAAAATGAACTGGGGGAAAAAAAAAAGAAATAAACAGTTGAACATGTAATAAAACGACACATAAAGAAAAGAAAACAGATACACATCTACTCCAGCCAAATATCTCTGTGTGTTAATAATATTCATTATTTCCCTAGAATAAAGCAGCATTTTACTATAATCCTTAAGATCTCTTGGAAATTTGATTTTCATTTTATCTCTAATGCTAGCAGTCAGGCCACAGGTTTCAAGGAAGTGAACATTATCACCTCTTACTCTACATAGTCGACAAAGATTGTTTTCCAGCAAGGCAAATCTATTTAAGTACAGGGTAAAACGTCCATGTCCTGTCAAAACCTGATTCAGATCTATATCAGTATAGCACTTTCTACCTTTATTAAATCCGTATAGTACACATATAATTTTCTCTTTCTGCGAGGATTCCCAGTTGTTTCTCCATTTTTCATATATACTATTGTATAAAATTCCAATAGTCTTTTGTCTAGAGCCCTGCTGTTTAATTCTATACAGTTGCCAATTGTGGCTTCTTTTGCCAGTGTGTCAGCCCTCTCATTAATTATCATGGAAACCTACATCTGTGTTAATCCAATGTATCTTAATGTTATATTTTGTATGTAGATTTCTGTATCTCTTTTTAATATTCACATTAAGTTTATTATCAAACCCAAATCCAGAAAGTGATTGCAAGGCCGATAGTGCATCAGAGAATATATGGACACATTGACCACCAGATAATTTATTTTCGATCCAGGTCAAAGCCTCTAGTACTGCATAGAATTCGGCCTGGTACACTGTATTCATGAAATTTAATAAGAATTTTTTGTGATCAATCTCATTTCCTTAATAAAGCGCAACCAACATTTCCTCCAAGGTCCAAACCATCAGTATAAATATCATATTCATTTACAGTACATAATAATCGATCATAATTAAGTCCAAATTTATGGGCAGGGTGAATCAATTCAAGACATTCTTCAAAGGCATTACTTTTTAATTCTACATTAGAGATTTTCAATAGTGTAATATATTTGTTTTTCATTAAAAATTTGTTATAGAAAAAGCCATATTGATATGAGAAGAGGACACACCAGGGAGCATACAAGCCACCTCAGTTGAAACAGTCCAGAAAGCACACGTAGCTGCAAGCATCCAGCCTCTCTGTTTTATATCTAATTTCTGTCTAATTCTCACAAGTTTCCCTGCCCTGCAGCTCCATCTGCCAATGCCATACATAACAATTGGAATTAGTACTACATTTTTAAAAAATAAACAAGGTAGAGCTCTTCTTTCTAAGAGTTTCCGTAGTAAAAGTAGTGTGATAATATTTCAAAATACCATCGGTTCTTTTTTCTACATCCTTAAAATGATCCAAAAAATGTAATATTTTATATCAATAATAACATTGAGGTATTTCATCTTTTCAATGGACTTTAATCGTTTAGCATTATATTTCAATCTGAGAGGGTGAATAACTTTACCACCCTTGCAGGAAAAACATTGCATAGGTCTTTTCTAAATTTAATTCTATCTCTTCTTGCAAGCTCCAATTTTCCAGTAGCTTCACCACGTAACTAAATAAATTTTCTAATTTCTCAAGTGATTTTTCATATAACAGAAATAAAAAGTCATCAGCATAACAAACAAAATCTACATTTTTTAAGTCAATATTGTATATTAGCTTATTGGCGATGAGGCCCCAGAACAGGGATGCAGAACATGAGCCCCGGGGTCAACCTTGAACAATTGATGTTTAGTCAGTACTTGTTCATTTTCATCTGTAACTAGGATCCATCTATTTTTAAAAAAATTTCTTATATCAGATATTTTCATTTCTTCTAATGCCTCAAGAAGCTCCATTTAACTGAATCAAAGGCACCCCAAACATCAAACAAGACCAAGGCCACATGATACTCTTGACGTTTCTGACAGACTTCACTTATAACCTTATATAATGCCTGACTCCTCGTAAATTCATACTGATTATCAGGCACATTCTCAGTCACAGTATAATCAATTCATAAATTACAAAATTCATTTCATGCCAAGTATGAACAAGTTGTAACATAGTGAAATTTAGCAACCCAAATGTGTGCTGTATTAATTACCTTCCCAAGCAATGGTGAACTTCAGCATGCATATTCATGTGTAGTTTGGACAAGTGCTTGTGCATTACTTTGATGGAAAAATAAGAATTTTATTTCTCTGCTGTCTCAGGAAACAACATATTTTCTTTGCATCTGTTGAAGAGAATTCTAAAAAACTTCAGAATGAGTTACATTATTAGAGAAAGTGAAAATACACTCAAAATTTACAGGGCATCATGCAGTACTTTTCTCATTAACTTGTTTAATGTCTGTATTGTCTTTATCATGCATGGAAGGTCTTGAAAAGTATTATCTTGAATTCAGGGGTACTACTGTATTGTTATATTTTTGTTATGTTCCAAAAAATATTTATTACTTGTCTATGATCTTGTGTTAGGCATAGGATAACATGTTTAACTTTTGTGCTAGGAAGTGCTGTTTAACAAACCAACTTGCATCATTCAGAATGCTTGCAATGGTATGGAGGAAGAAAATATATTTTATTGCCTTCAGTGCTGAATTATAGTTCTAGTTTTTGTAGTAGTGATTAATGTGTTGTGATGTAGAAGCAGGTTAGTGACATACTGGACTACCTCTGCCTTAGCAGATGGGCTAGATAAGGCTCCTGCTTTATGATATCATGTATTGAATTTCCATATTTTGAAATTACTTTGTTGTAGTTCGTAAAATTTGTTGTGCTATTTTAATTAGTTTGATTCATATTGAAGCAATTTTTGTAAATAAGGCAATTTTAGTGCTGGATATTATATTTTAAAGAATATCTTGTTCACTCTGTAACAGTCTAATTAACCTCATTTATAACTGAATAATATTATTTCAAACAAACAAAAAAATTTTTGTTTGGCACTTGTATAAGGAAAAAAAATGGCATGAAAAGTAATGACAATTTATGTAATTATTATCACAAATATTTAACACAATTACACTGGTCACTTCCTTGTCCAAATGATTAGAAAATTAAATCTGTTTTTGGATATATTTTAGATGCTGATATGAAAAATGGCACCAGTTTATCCCTGTCAGTTTTTATGTTTTTTTAGCCACGGGTGTCTTATTAAATGCTATTTATTATCTTAGATAATCCTAAACAAATAGTTCTAAATCAAATTTAAAATGAGGCCTTACGCTTATTCCGATCTGTCAGTGCATCAGTAAGAAATAAAAATGCAGTGCAATTAACTCAATCTCGAAAACAATTAAGTATAGAGTAATGGGTGATTTTTGTGTTGACTTAAAAGGATGAGCTTTCTCCTTGATAAGAAAAATGGATGAACAAAATGTCCATGTGTGTCTTCAGGATAGTAGAGTTAAAGATCACAGCTAGATCACAGCTAGATTTGGAGAGAGTAGTTTTTGAGAAATATGCTAAGTGGATATTAAAATTAATAATACAGTAGGTGCTGCTATTGTGATGACCTTTGTATATGGTTATTTTGATATCATTAAACAATGAAATTTAACTAATTTGATATAAATATAACTTGAAACATATCAATAAATACTGTGAAACACGTTAATTAGCTTATAAACTATTCAAAATGTCAAAAGTAATCTATGAACTATTTATATACTCTGGAAATTATTTGACTGATGTTGTACCCTTAATAGTAGGAGCAAATCCCTTATTGGAAGAATATTACCAATGTAAAAGTTAGAGAAAAAGAGTTTGGCATAGATATTCTCAGGGGATTTCCCCCCATCCCTACTGATTATTTTTTTCTTTTTTAAAAAGAGTACCTGTGTCTAATTGTCCTCAAAATTCATAGAGTTATTCAAAATCTGCGTCAAACAAAAACTGATATTTTCCTTTTTTTGGTTGACTGAAATTGAAATCAAGCTGTTTGACGATTTAATTTGTATTTGGTGACTTTTTTTTTTTTATTTGGTAATTTTTATAATCTATTTTGACCTCATTTGATGACTTCACTTCTGTTTAAAAAATATATTCCATATAAAATTTTGCCCATATCAATCGAACTATTGATCACAATTAGCTATGTATTTTCCACTGTTTCTTATACAAATGGGCAGTAGTTTGGCAATTAAATAAAGATAAACTATGATAACATTAACTGCTACCACATTATGCAACATCTGCTATAAGAGCAATCTTTATCATACAGACTTGCAATGATGAATATCTAAAATTGTAGCAAATAGAACAAAACTGATGGCAGTTTTGAAATCAGAACCAGGAATGTATTTAAGAATATGTGAATATAATTCACAAGCTTACCAGTTATTGTCTACTGAGTAAAAATATTTTCAGACTGAAATTCATCTTTCAGTTTTCCTCATTTTCTGCAATCAAACTGAACAGTTTTCCTGACTAAACTGTGATGAACTAAAAATTAAAAGTAATTATGCATTTACTACAAATTACAATGAATTAACTAAGAACATTATAAAAATATAACATATCTCATTCATTTTATGATATTTTATTTATCTTGTAAAGCCAGAGATTAAAGGTTTAAAAAAAGTTTCAAAAACTGTTCATTCTGTTAATGAAACTGATGAAATTATACCATTTGTAAAATATTATAATTACAATACTTCTAAATAGAAGAACAAATTAATTTACTAATATGAAAAAGTATGTAATTAATAATAATTAATTATATGTAATAATTACTTATTATAATGTAAAAACAGACAATCTGAATTTTTATATTTATTTTTACAAAGAGTTAGCTAGCTATAAAAACAAACTTAGTTTCATTGCAATCACATAACACTTGTTGATTTTTTTAAAATGGATTACATCTTTTTCTAACAGTTTTTGTTTCAGTTGTATATATTTAAGCCAGAGGTTCTCAGCCGGGGGGGATATGGTCAGCGTTTATTTAGCTAGTAAGTATTTAGATATGCTTTATGAATATATTTTTAAAAAATTAGTTTTATTCCAGTTTTGGTATTTATCGTTGTTTTCTATGCTTTTTGTAGCCTGATTTATAAAACACATTGCAAAAATGTGTATATACGTTTTGAGTTTTGAGAAGGAAGAAGCTGATCTTCTAGCAGTGCTGAGGGTAAAATAGGTTCGAGAACCATTGTTCTAAGCATTTGATTTTAGTAGTACTGTCTTTCCTCCTCTTTTTATACGTTTAACAAGAGAAATTTTGAAAAATTTTAAAGAAGTAACAGCTTTTTATCAGTTACAGCATTAGGTATGCCTCCTGCTTCCATTTAACAAATTACTTCGAGAGTAATGAAATTAATTTATTTCCAATCTTTTTAAAAGAAGTAATTTTTGGTTTAGATGTTACTAATTAAAACCTGAACTTTTTATTGTTTAAAGGAATCTGTAGTTAACCTCTTTTACAAGTAAAAAAAAAAAAAAAAAAAAGTAAAATATTTTTATGCAGCCTTTTTATTTTCCCTATACTTAGGTAAAAATCTCAAGTTTTCTTCAGCTCTCTTCAGAAAGGTTATATTTTGCCTCAGTTCCCAGGTAAGTAAGAACTCTGTTTTGTTTTTAAATTAAACACGCTGTCCATTCTAGTCAGACAATTGTTCATTTTGGATATAATTTCTTTATTTGACACAGCAAACACAATGAATTAAATTTTCCATAGGCACAGGAAATCTTCCACTTTGTCGTTTAATGACTTGGACACATAAAATTATTACAACATATATAACTGACATTAACTGCATTTTCCAATCTTTAAAGAATACTCCCTTATCACCTTATTAAGAAATGATGATATGTTGTAACTGTATATTTTTAAACTAAAGAACATATCAATTGCGCTTTTAGCAAGATTCAAACCTCCGACCTTCTAATGTTAGCTGGACATGCTAGTCATTTTTATCATTAAAGTATAAGTGGGTGGATGCAATAACTCCTTGCATTCTCCACCATTTAAAAGTTAACAAGGAAATGACACAAGATCCAGCAGAACAAATCTAAGCAGTGACAAGTATTGCCCACCATATTTTTTAGATAATATGCCAGTTTAGAGAGCTATCTGGATTTTACAAAATAGAATATGTGATAAATTAACTATGCTAGGATCTTTAATGCTAGATGGGCATGTTAATTGCTTAAAACATGATTCCCAACAAGGTTGATGAAATTTTAGATGGGATCAGTGATGACAAAGGCTTTGACAGCTGAATATGCATCGGGAACTGATCTGCATACTTGAGATCCTGTTCGTTACAGGAAATATTAATAAAACTGATAATTTATTTTTTATTGATATAAAGCTATTATGTAGCAAAGAATAAATAATCTAAAATAAGTATAAGGGGAAAAATACGCAAATGCAATTATCCATTATTGAAAATAATTGTATCTTATCAGAAGATGTATCATTATATACAAGCCACTTGTAAAATTTGAAAGATTTTCATATTTGCTTCAAAGGCGTTGAAAATTCGAATGTGCCAGCATAGGTCATAGAACCGCTGAACTTTAATATATCTGATCTTGACAGTATGATGTAAAAAGAGTTTATTGCATTAAAGGAGGAAGTTTGAGCACAAACATTATTCAAAATATATGTGTACACTAAGTTTTGGAATTTAAAAGTCATCTGAAAGAAATATCGAAAATAAAAAGTTGTTACCAAACCAAAATTATTGATTTCCCCCTCTTTTTCCAGTGGAAGCAGGCTTTAGTCAAGTCAATAATTTATTATGGAAAACAAGAAACAGGCTGTGTATTTTTGAATGAAAGGATTTAAGTTACACGATTTTATGCCAAATATTTCAAAAATTGCATCAATATATCAAGGACAAATACTGCATTAAGTAAAATTGAACATTCATGCAATCAGAATTTGTGTTTTTGTTTCTGGAAACTTGTGTAAAATTAATAAAGCATAAATCTAATAAACCAATTTTTTCAAAGCTTCTGTATATATTCTGGAAATCCCTGACTTGCACTGTGTCAGCATATCTACAAGGAAATGTGGCAATTCCTTACAGTGTTTGGACAAATGATTAAAAAAAAAAAAAAATGGGAGAAAATAAATCAAGCATTTACAATTATATTTCATGCATAAAAGCAATCTGTTCTCTGCATTATATATCTGTGTCAGTTTTTTTCAATCACAATTAAGCATTTAGGTATAGCATTCCATATGATTCTTCCAATAATATGACTAATATATGATCATTTTCCAATATGTATGTTTAAAACTCCTTTTTAATGTAATGTGAAATGTATTCACATATTTTATGGACAAAATATATACTTGAACAGTATTTTTTATATATATATAATTTCACAAGTTAAATTTTGCAAAAATTGAGCAGTTTATTTGACAAAGATTTTATTTAAGCTAAAGACAGTTGCTACAGTAACACATAATAAATTAACCCTTGTATATATTATATATATATATATATAATATATGTATGCAAAGATTTATGCACTACAAAATTACTCATTATCACAAATTTCACATGGACTTATAACAGTAAAAATTGCATTTTATCATAAATTACATGCATATTTTAAATTTCCAAATACTACTAATTTCTATTTTATAAACATGAACATAAAATGTATTTACAATTCCATGGTCATGAAAAATAAAGCAAAACATATTGCACGATCTGACAAAAATACAAAAGACTAAATTTAAAAAAAGAAATCATACATAGAGTTTCCATATAGAAATAGGTTGCCGATACACACCTGGTGCACTCTGTTCTCTTCCTCCAAACATGTAAAAACATAGCTGCCAGTCATGTTGCTCATACTTTGGTCTAGCAGGGCTCAGAGACCAATGTCGATTAGGAGATTCTACAGATTCCCTTTTCCTAGGAACACTCAGCATGTCAACCCGTGCAACTCTTTGATTAGTACGAGATACAAAACTATCTTCTACTACGCTTGTTGACATCAAAACAGTTGGAGTTATGCTTCCTCCAGAAGGATAGCTTCTAACAAGTTTTCTCTGAGATGCTCGATCAAGAGAGCGTGCCCTTTCCATACTTACTGGAGGTGGAGGAAGAATAATATCACCATTACACCCCAATCCATTCTGTGACTCATTTGGCGAAAAAGTCTTCAGTTCTAAGTCTCTGCATCTAGGTAGATGCTTACGAGTTGCAGATGTATTCAGACATCCAGCAAACTCTCTATGGCACTCAAAGTTATTTTCATCTTCTGTAAATGAATGGTAACCAGAGCTATGTGAAACTGAATGTGGAAGCTCGTGATTTTCTGTGCATGGAGAGAATGCTTGAGAAGCAAAATCAGAAATGGTGTGACTAGATTTAAAATGATTGTTTTGAGAAGGGAGATTCTCATTTGGCATGTTCAAATCTACTAATATTGCCGTATTATCTTTCTTGTTACCTGTTGAACTAATCATTTCATTTTGCTCTGTACTAATTATCATGTTTGGTTCATCTGCATTTTCACTGTTCTCCTCAATTACATCTCGCACTGTTGAAAGTGGACCATCAAAGGCCAGTCTTCCAATTCTCGTTGTAGGAGTTGTACAAGTACTATGATGCTCACCACCATTGATCCTGCTAGAACTTGCAGACATGGAATGTCGACTATGCTGAAATGTACTTTCAGACCAAGAAGATCTAAGTAGAGTATTGGGATTTTCAACCCACAGTGGAGGCGAGTCAGTAATAGTACCTGGACGATTGGGCTTAGCATGTTGTTTATGTTGAGGTGTTGCTTCACCATCTGATTCAAGTACAGCTTCTGAACTTTGAGATTTCTGTATTTTTAAACGAGGCCGATGTTGTTGGTGTGGTGTACTCTCTTCAACTAATTTTTCTAATTCATCTTTACGTGCTTCATTAGCTGACTGATTATGTAGGATGGAGTAACTTCCACTTGATATACTGCGGACCAGGCGACTACTATGAAATTTATCACGTAGTGTCCTAGGAACATAAAATGCACAAATGTTAGCCTTTTCCCATTTGTATCTTATATGGGGGGAGGGAAATAATTTGACAAAAATGTTATTTTAAAAATACATTTTTGCACTTTCACTAATATTAAAATATGAAGTAAAATATCAAACAATAAAATAAATTTAATAACACTAAAATAATTCTTTCAGGAAATTTTAGCTATTTAAATTAAAGACATTTCATTCTAGATATTGTTTTGAAACTACAGGAAACCCTCTTTTGGCAACAAAGGTCCAAGAACAACTACCTCTATAAGTGACCTGTATATTAGAGAACATATTGTAAGTAGATTCCCAGAATAACCAGAAGAGCAAAATTTCAAGTGATTACTTCATAATTACAGAATTTGCTGCTAGGTCTTGTCAGCTCAGGAATTCCTGCACCTATTTGCCAATTAACATCACACTGTGTAGTGTCTTACCCTCAGTGCAGATCTGTGTGCATTCCTGCTCACAATATCCCACTATTTTTGTTTTGTACAACCACACAGAATGACACTGTGCGGGAGTTTATTTTAAGAAAATTGCAGTTGAGATTATTCTTATACTTAGGCAGATCTTTAATGATGATGCTTTGAATAAATCATAAGTACAAACAAATAGTTTTTCAGATTAAAATAAGGCAACATATCAAATTAAGGCTACTATGCCTCGGACATCCATTGATGAGTAAAAACGATGAAAACACTGACAGTGTCTGCTAATGGAGATTGCTAAAGACCATTCTTCAGCTTTCTGAAGAAATTCTTTCCATCTGACAATTCTTGGGAAAGAATAATATGGTACTTGTGTCTCATTCATGCTGATCATGAATTCTGTTTGCTTTGTGCAACCTTTTTTCTATTTTTACTAATAAAGAGAACTCTAAGAAAAAAGCAATTCAGTGATGAAAATGAGGTGTAAGAAAGTATGTTGCTTGCCTTGAATAAATTCCTTATTAGAAATTCCAGAACTATATTCATGTTTCTAGCAAACACTGGTCAAAGAGCACTGATGTTGATGGAAAATACTTTAAAATAAAACATAAATAAAGCATAATATAGTTGTTTAAAAATAATTTTGCTATCTTTGGGTACTTCTTTGTAAATAACATCATTGGTATTGACAATTATGCTATTTTCTTAGAAAACTACTTCCTAATCATATTGAGACTATAAAATATGTATTAAGGTCTAATTTTGTTATTGAGCTAAAATATTTTATGTCTTAAACAAAGTAAGAAATTACATTTCCCAGTCTCAGTATAAGCATTCTATAATTTTTTTTGTCATACCACTATACACTGGTGTGCAAAAATTAAGGACGAAGTTGAAAAATTAGCATATCAGCTGAACGAAGAGGCAGAGCGGACAGAAAGACCAATCAGGAGATTAAGTAAGGTGATGTATGGTAGCACATGCACAGATATGCAGGTAGACGTAATGGGGGAGTGTCTGAGTAGTATAAAGCATGTTGTCAGTGTAAGATCAGTATTTCTGGCAAAGAGATTGCACGCCGTATAGCAGTTTAAATCACACCGAGTTGCTGCCTCAGCGAGAAATGGCGAATAATCAATCTGTTAGACGACATCTGGATGCTTTTACCTGAGGTTGAATCATTGGGAAGTTGGAGGAAGGCCGCAGTGTAACAAGTGTGGCTGCAGAGTTCGGAATTGCTCACAGCATCGTTTCACGACTTTGGAGATAATTTCAAACTACAGGAACAGCTATCCGGGGGTTTAGTAGTGGTCGTCCATGAGAAACCACACCCGCAGATGACCGGTATATTGCCTTACAGGCCAGAAGAAACAGGTGGCAGACAGCGGGAAAAATCGCTAGACACACGACACAGGCGACTGGACGACCGATATCGCGTTTTACCGTGGCTAGAAGACTGCACGGTGGTGGTCTGTTTGCACGACGCCCTGTACGGTGTGTACCTCTAACGCCTGCCCATCGGAGAAGGCGTTCTCTGTGGTGCCGGGAACACCGGAATTGGAGAGACAATGAATGGGAACACGTACTCTTTACAGATGAGAGCAGATTCAGTCTGAGTAGCGATTCTCATCGCATACTCATCTGGAGAGAGCGGGGAAGTGCAATCATCTCTCGAACATCATTGAAAGGGACAGGTATGGAGGTGGCGGTGTTCTCGTTTGGGGAGGCATCATGCTTAGTAGTCATACAGATCTTCACATCTTCGACGCAGGTTCAGTCAACGGGACCCGTTATTGTAACGAGATTCTTCTTCCATATGTGCGTCTTTTTAGAGGCGCTATGGGTCCGCAGTTCCTTTTCATGGACGACAATGCACCATGTCATAGCACAGTAGCTGCCGAACAGCTCTTAGAGAGTGAGGATATTGAACATATGGATTGGCCGGCATGATCTCTGGATCTCAATCCCATCAAGCATGTATGGGATTTTCTAGGCAGACGCTTGGCAGCTCGGACCTTACCACCAGTAACGATTCCGGAGCTTTGATTGGCGCTGCAAGATGATTGGGCAGCAATGCCTCAACAACTCATTGACACCCTCATTCTCAGCATGGGCAAACGCTGTGAAACCTGCCTAGCAGTCAGGGGAGATCATATCCCCTATTAAAGCCCGGATGTTTATTGCTGGATACCCATCACAGGGATGTTTCGGCCTTCAGTCGCATTGCGCTCCATGCTACTTTTTCAATAAAGCTTCTTTTTATCCCTCTGATTTCTCTTTTAGTAAGTGTTGCTTACATTACTCATGTCCTTACGTATTGGGGATCTTACGGTATTCAATGTGTTGATTTGGAAAGCTTTTGTAGAAAGTTATATTGAAAAAACCGTCTCGTCCTTAATTTTTGCACACCAGTGTATATTTATTACCAACTGTTCAAACTAAAATTCCCTAACGGGATAAACTGATGTTCGCTTTTCCCACGGTGGGGGGGGGGTACAGTTAGAATAGAAAGAAATAATGATGTGGTAAGATGTATAGATCCGGCACAGTGTCACGTATGATATTTCATATTTGTTTTAATCATGTTTGGTATTACTGTTAACAATAAATAATCAAAAGACACCTACTGTGAATTAAATGACTCAACACTTCAGAACAAAGACACCACACCAACAAAGTGCACTATTACATGACTGTTTCTTGCTATAAATAATTTAAATAATAAATGTATTTAATTATTTGGAAAATGTTGTTATATGTTGCTGATATAAAGATGCAGTTACGATCACAACTGAATTAAATATTCCTTTTTATTTTAGCCAACACACATTTTTATAAATAAACTGGTATAATAAAACATCAGTAAGGCTACATCAGTACTGATAAAATTTTGAAATATGATTGAAGCAGTAGGACTTGAAGATCTAGTTAGCAACAGAAGCAAGTGTAATGTGTCTTGTAAATGAATTTTAAATTAAGTTGGTTTTGATTTCAGTATATTTTGATTGTCTAGAATTATTACTGGCTGAGGGTTCATGTAACTTATTGTCTCAGAATTATATAACAATCATATAACATGGGTTAATTCAGAAATAATGATAAACAATTTAAAGCTATTTACTATAAACAATTACTATTTTTTGGACAGAAAAAGGAAATTGGCAAATTAAAATGGAAAGTTAAAGGATTATTGTAAAGTTAAGAGTTTTAATTTACATATTTATCTTACATGCATTATTAATATTAAATAGCTTTATTTCTGAAGTTATTGCTACAGTAGAAAACAAGTAGAGTGTAGTTTCCCTCTCTAAACAGTCTGATTTTTAAAGCTCCACAATAAAAGTCAAACTGTACACTTAAATTTTTCTAGATATGAAATTTCTGTATAAATTTTACCACTCTAATTTAATCTAACGAAGAATATATATTTTTATGAAATTTTAATAATTCAATCAGTTTTCAAAGTATACAGAAATTTCATTTTCAATGTCTTACTTCCTTACTTCATTTTCTTAGATCTTTTAAATTCAATTGACAGAGTAATATTTTACATCAGACAGTCAAGCTACTTATATACACTGAAGAGCCATTACATTGTGACCACCCTGTTAACCACCTGTAGGACCATCTTTAGCCATTAAAACTGCCAGCACCTGGCATTGCATTGACTCTATGAGATGCTGTTTTGTAGTCCAAGATATCTGGTATCAAGCGTCCACATTGCGAGGGGGTAGCGTGGCAGCACGAATTTGGTTTTCCAGGTGGGATCACAAATGCTCTATTGGATTAATGTCAGGTGAATTTGGAGGCCAAGACATAACTTGAAAGTCACTGGAATGTTTCTTGAACCACTCCCTGAGAATGTGAACCTTATGACATAGTGCATTATCCTGTTGATATGAATGGGTGAACCTGGTCTGCAACAATGTTCACGTAGCACATAGACCTCAGGGATTGTTCTATGGGGATTATGGGTCCTAATGTGCTCCATGAAAATATTGCCTACACTATAATATCCCCACCACTGGCATGTCTCCGTCCAACTGTGCGTCAGGGAGCCAGGGTTTCCTTTTGAAATCGGCGTATTAGCATACGCCTGTCGATGTGATGGATCAAAAAATGTGATTTGTCGGACCATGCAACTTCCTTCAATTCTTCTAATGTGCAATTCCGATGTTTCTTGCTCCATTACAGACGCAGCTGGCGATGACATGCCGTCAATGTAGGGACATGCTACAGCCTCCGGCTGCTTAGGCACATATGCAGCAGTGTATGCTGCACAGTGTATTGAGAAACACTGTTTGGGTTGCCATTGTTGTAGCTAGTGGCAATTTTGGCCATTTTAGCTTTTCGATCACAGCGAACAATGCATAGTAATCTTCACTCTCCTCTGGAATCAATGCCCTGTCAACGACACACTGCTGGCCAACGACTTATAGTTTCACCCTCCCTACACCACTTTCGATATGTGCTCACAACAACTGCACATGAATGGCTCACTAAATGCACTGTTTCTGATACTAATTTTCTCCGTCGCAAAGCCATAGCGATTTGACCTTTATGAAAGTCTGATAAATCAGCTGCTTTTCCCATTATGTCATTAATTGCACTATCTTTGGAAAGACAATGTATAGCTACTTTATATACTTCAATATCAGCCATGCATGCGCAGTGGTTTTGTTCCTGGGAAAGCTCACTGTTGTAGATAGAGGGTGGCCATAATGTAATGGCTCTTCAGTGTATATTCCACTGTAACCAGTTTTTTCATTAAGATGATCTGAAGACAAAAATTCTGGAAGATTTAATGTGGTTGTTAGCTGATACAGCCTGGACTATTAAATCAAACTATACTTTGCAGTGAATCCTGGGAAAAATCCATTCCCATGATTGGATATGCTTTTTGATGACATCATTTCTTCTCTGCTAGAGAACATTTTGACACCATTTAAGTTGGAGAGTATTCAGGTACACCTTCATATTGTTTATTTACATTTTGTTTTCAGTGTTAAAATGACTGTTATTACTAATGTAGTAGTAATACTTACTGCACTGACATGGTGTGATTTTAATTGGTTGCATGTATTATATTTCCATTTATCTATGTTAATCACGTGTTCAGTGAACATTCATAAAAACAATAATCTTCTCAATAAATTATATCTCAAGGTACAGTGGAACCTCAAGACACAAGTTTAATTCGTTCCAACACTGAGCTCATATAGCGAATTTCTCGTATCTAGAAACAAACTTCCTATTGAAAATAATGGAAATCCAGTTAATCAATCCGCACCTCTAAAAATATCAACATAAAAATAAATTTTCTAATAAATAACACTAGTAAATAATATAACCTAATATAACAATAGTTTACTTTTATGAGAGCTTCCAGCACTGACCTTTTAACTACTTCTCATTAATCCACACCAACGACAGCTTCTCAACATCTTCTAGGACTTTTGGACAGTGCTTGGAAATAACGGTAATTCTTTTGGCTATATCAAGTTTCATATTTTCTTTCTGCTTTTTCAGAAATCATCAAATCATCGGTGTTGAAAGGCCGTGTCTTCGCCAATTCTGTCACACTTATACCACGCTTCTTTATCTGTTTCTTTCTTAATTTCAATGGCCATGGTTTCCTTATTTTTCTTTGCAGCACTATCTGAGAGGAAAACCTGCTTGGTAGGCATCGTGAAATAATTATTTTCATGTTAAATGTAATAAACAATTGATTTACAAGCGCACAAACACGTAGATCAAAGAACATCGAGTGATGTGATGAGGGGATTCTCCGAGTCGGGCCGGATTGGGAAATGGCGCCATGCATATTAACAGCCTGGCTCATTGCTTGTTACTCGACTCAATGCTCATATTTAGAGACAGATTTTTCGCTCATACTTTCTTCGTATTTTGAATTTCTCATATATAGAAGTGCTCATATCTCGAGTTTCCACTGTATTAGATTCTCTCAAGAAGTTATTGACCACCTGAGAAATTTTTAATAGGCTTCTATTGTAAATCTAACATATAAATTTCTCCAATCAAGAGTATCTGGAAAAAGTTTTACTTACCTGAGGTTTAATTGGGCGGAGCTTTGGTTGTAACTGGCAGTATATTCCTCATCATCATCTTCATCAGAACTAGTATTTTTACTGCAAAATCTTGAAACTGGATGGACCCGAAATTTGAAGTACTTCTTGCCTTCTGATTCAGCATTAGTTTGCCCAAAACACATGGAGATAGATTTGGGTGGATTTGTTCTGTTTGGCCCATTCTCACTGGACACTGTGGAATCTCCCCAAGCATGAACTCTTGCTTCCCAGTTGTTCAAAGCTGGATTTGGTACAGCAATGTGATGACATTCGAGGAGGAGGTATTATCCCTTCAGCATTAATCTTTTCCCAAGTCTCTGTCCCTATGAATATAATGACCGATATTATTAATTATTTTTGTTTGTAGATATCAGAATATACTGCATGTATTTACAATTAAATAGATTTTCCATTATTTTTATTCATTTGTTAATCATCATGGTAAATAGATATTCTCAAAAATTTATCTCGGTTTTAGAAAAAAATCGAGTTCTTACGACTTTTAGATCAGGTGATGCTGAAAGAAGTTTAACTGACCACTCTTATTAATTATTTTATTGTATTTAATAGTTTACAGCTGATTATTTAAGCCTCTCATCATAATTAAGAATATTATAACTAACCATTTTTTCTCGCAAACTTTTATTTGCCATAATTTTGGATTATTCCAGGTTAAGCTTCGTTTTATTGTATTTTTGCTTGTAGTGAACTTCTTTGAAAAGAAAGTAAACCTTAAGTAACAAGCTGATTAATGTTCAATATATATTTTATTTGACTGGTAATGTTTTAAACTTAACGATTCTCAAACTAAACTCCAAGGTACTGAGTGTTATGCGTAATATATGAGCTTGAAATATTATTCTTGGTTTTCTGGAAAACTCTGTTTTAGTCATATGAAGGCTAAGAGTTTAATTGTTTTGCTATTTTTTTCATTACAGATAACAATAGCACTAATATAATATACAAACTATATTGGTATTTTATTCAGGCAAGGCTGGCACTGGTGCAATCGCACAAGGTGACAGAATTTAGGGGCAGCAAAATTTTTAGAATTTAAGGGAGCACTAGGCAGTAGAATTGAAAGGGGTAAAAATTATTAGAAATTAAGAAGGTGCAGTGCGACAGAGTTCAGAACCTGATAAAATTGCACCAGTCTTATATACAGAGTGCATCAAAGATCACCATTTTTTTAAAAATTCTTAAAAAAGTTTACAAATTGACATAAAAAGACAAAATATAAATCAAAATTCATGCCATGAATACAGATTTTTTTTTCCTAGCAGAAAGGGAAAAAAAGTAAGAATCTTGCAGACTGATGGTGCTACCCCATAGAAAACATAGATATGAAATAAGATTGCCTTTTAAAGAAGCTTTCCAAACTGCAGAACTTTTTATGTATTTATTTATTTATTTATTTATTTTTATTATTATTATTATTATTATTATTATTATTATTATTATTATTTTTTTTTTTTTTGTTTTTGTAAACTAGTCAGACTTTAATGACAAATTGGTGTAAGTTGTATTTAGATATGAAAGAATCACAGCGAAGTTCTTCTGTGTGAGTGAAGAATCAGCTTTATGACAGTTTTGCATACACATGACAATATCTAGAGACCTAATGATGATGGCAATGCTAACAATTTTCATGTAATCTTTCAGGGAAACTGAGAATTTAGCTTTTTTAACTGACAACAGCACAGAGTCAGTGGCAAATTACCATGCAAGTCACATAGCAGCATAAGTGAAGACTTTAGCAGCTTATACAAGAAACAGCTTCAGCAGTTTTGGAGAAATTACAACAATCATGGTCAGTGTTGCAGATCTAACATGGTATGCTGCTATTGTATCCATACAAGCTGCAGTTGTTTTATTAGCTGCAATCAAATTATATCCATAAATGGGAAGAATTTGCGTTGTCAGCAATAGTAGAAGTTGTGGATGATTTGTAACAGATTCTGAATACTCTTTGGATAGAAGAAACATATTTGTTATTGCATGGAACTATTAATCTCATAACTGTTAAATATGAGAAAAGGACAATTCCAAAACTACAGTGCTGTACAACTAACTGTAGTGCAGTTTTATAGCAGCTTTCATATCATGGCTCATTCATGTTTGAAGAGTCATATGGTATAAATGATGAAAAAATAAGCTCCATACGGTACAGCAGTATCAAAAAACGTTATGTATAAAAGTTGTATTATGTTTGCAAGAATCATGCTATTACATGGAGGCTGTCATGTTTAAGCAAGAGAGTTCTCTTCCTCATATCTTCATATGGCAGTCTCTGTGAAGTAATTCTTTATATATGTTCTTTGTTTTAAGCAGCTAATTAGTCATTTCTATCATATTGTCTAACCTTGATCTTCAGATTTGACTGTCCATGTACTTTTGAGTATGATGCTATTAGAAGTCCCAGATACACATTATATAGTATAGAAAGAAAATACATAACCCATCATTCCTCACACAGTTAAAAATGTCTATTTGCTGTGGAATTGCTTCAACAGACACATACTCAACACAGTGAAAAGTGTGGCATACACTTGCTGAATTTCCTGTAGTGGGGGTCATACATAACATTTGATAATGTGAAATGCTGTGTATTAAAACATTCGAATGACATTTAAGCAAATTTCCTTTCATTCAACACCATACAACAATGCAGTGACATCTAATAGCCTTTTATTTTGGGAAGGGGAGGGAAGGAGGCAAGAAAAACTTCAAATTCATAGCATTGACTTCGGTGCATACCACATCCTTGTATGCCAAGTGATACCACATGGGGGGGGGGGGGGGGGGGGGGGGGGGGGGGGGGGGGGGGGGGGGGGGGGGGGGGGGGGGGGGGGGTGGGGGGGGGGGGGGGGGGGGGGGGGGGGGGGGGGGGGGGGGGGGGTATACCAAGTGATACCACATCCTTGTATACCAAGTGATTCATTTTTAAGAAATTTTAAAATGTTTAGTGATTTTTGGTTCAGTTTGGACTTATAACTAAAATTTAATTTAAAAAATTATAAAAAATAATAAAATAAATAAAAAAAAATTAATTAATTTGGACTATTAAAACAAAATTTAATCTTCTATATTAGATTTTCAAAACTTGATGATACCAGGAGATGGCTTTGGATTATATTTCCATTTATGTTTAATATATCTCGTTGATTTTTATTTTCACATAAAATGAAATAAAAGCGAGACTGGTAAGTAATTTAGAAAGGCAAATCTATTTTAGAAGTGAAGGCAGAAACCTGTCTTTATTTGATTATGTGTACAGAACATAAGAAAAGGCAAAAAACATTCTTTCATTTAATTTACTGTACTGTCAGAAATCAAACCTGAGATGACATGTTTGATTCTTACTTGTTTTAACTTCTTAGCCACTAATGGGTGATTGAAATGAATGTACAGTTTGTAAAGGCAAGCAGTTTTTGGAAATCAAAATGTTTAATGTAAATATTTTAAATTACATAAAATAAGAAAACAACATTTTAAACTTTTGCCCAGTTCTCACACTTCAAAAACAAGTTCTGATTACACTGCTATCTAATTTATGAAAGAACAAATTTGATAATTTTGAAAGTGAAGATTTAATAATTAATTCCATACTGTCAATTTATGACTATTAACAAATTTATTTGTCTTTTACAGTCAGTCTTTTCATTACATAAAGATTAAATATAAATATATGTTTATGATAAAATTAAATTATTCCCCAAATCACAGCTATCAATTTAAAAATATTCATACTGTGTTTTACTTTGTAATTCATACTAAATATTAATTACTGTTCATAAACATCTTAAACATTCAAATCTAATTTCTGCAAAAGATGGACCATCAAAAGACATGTTTAGTGATGGGGGTAAAACAAACAAAAAAACTTAATAACTCCTGCTTTGTTGCATAATTTCTCAAACAAATAAATAACAGTTTGTAACAATCAATTTCCTTACATGTTAGTATTTTATTAAGGAGACCTAAAGTTAAAAGATTAAGTTGCTTTAATTATTTCATAAAGCAAAGTAAAAAATTAAGGACCTACCAAAGTGAAACCTCCATAATTCATTGATAGCTATGCCACATCTCTCTCCGCCAAATATGTACATATATGCCAGACCTTTTACTGCAGCATGACCATGCAACTCTCCTGGACCCCTTTGTGTTTTGACTCTTGACCACTGATGAGATACTGTTAAAAAGCACAAGACAACAGTTATGAATTAAGAACCTTAGAAATATATTACTTTCTTAAAGTATTGCAGAAATAAATAAAATGCATTTAAATTCATGTTCTACATTGCATATAAAATAACCTTCCAAAAAAAAAAAAGTTTCTTGAACATTTTTAACATCTTAGATGACTTTCCCCCTCCCTTCAATATTTTTATCCCCATGTTATTTACCATTTTATTTAAGTCAATTTTATCTTTATCATCTAGCTGAAGAACACCATCTTTTATATTTACCATTTTAAAATCTACTATTTCTAAAGTATTCCTTGTAATCTTATCAAAATTTGCCTTATCTTACTGTAGTACATTCACAATCTACAGAACACAAACTTATGTTTGAAGTGACAGCTTGAATTAGTACAGTCTTGTCATATTAGAAAATATTAAAGATTTTAGGTAGCTGTTAAATTAGGTTTACAAATTTAGTAATATAAAGCTCCAATCTGCATAAAGAAATAATGAAATTTAGAAATGTATTGACAGCTAAAAAGAATAGTGAATAACAAAGATGCAATTGCAATTAAACTGCACGAACATTTTGGCATAACTATCAAATGGACACAGCATAATTAAACACTCTTAGTTTTTTTAAAAGTCATGTTCAACACATACTCGTAGAACATACAAGTTTAATTTTTTAGAGCCATAAACACTCTTTTTTATAATGCTAGATCATTTGACAATGAATTACAACACAGAATACACAATACATTTATTTTGCAACACAGAATTTGAAACAGCACAATATGATGTTAAGGTTGCACAGAAATTTAAATACTATATGTTATTTTGAAATTACTGTGAAGTTTGGGTTTACTTCTTCACATAGATTATTAATTTACTGGGATAGAGATAATTGAATAAAAAAGGATGTATTACATTCTTGTTTATAACCTTTCATTAATGCATAATTTAATAGTATTGCGGAAAAACAGAATAAGTACTATGTGCCATAAAGCTCAAAGATGCTTTTTTTTTCCAAAAGATTTCCATAATTTTGGCCAATAGCAAACATATGCAAAGGAAAACAAGAATAACCCTAGTCAGACAGCCTTGTTTGTTGCAAACCACATTCGTTATATTATCTCGAATTGTAACGATTTATGATATGGATACAGCAATTCCTCAGAAGCATTGTATATAACAATATAGAAAGGAAAGTTAAAAGTTTTTGGATCCATCGGGCAATTAATCACAAAAAATCATAATTTTTATAATGCTTTATCATTTGAGTACTTGTATTAACTGCATGCACATAAAGCTCAGTAATGGACGGAAAAAACCCAGATTCAGTAAGGCTAATTGTCAGATAATAATGAAATATAAATGAAGAAAACTTCTACATAATTTCCAGTATACTGCAAAAAAGATGAACGCACATGTATTCAATTACAATAGGAAAGCATGTAAATCATATTTCAGTCTCAAGAATGAATTTTACAAATTAACTGTTAGTTGATAACCCAAAAAGAACACGAATTGACTTGAAAGAACAATTCTTGGTGATTGTTTCAGCAAGATATAAATTATTTCTTTGATTTAGACCACAGGTTGGCAACCTATTTTACTAAGAGGACATACTTCTGAAAAGTGGGTGTTAAAAAAGATCATGGAGCAACCACAGTAATAATAAATATAAATATTAAATAAATAAAAATAAAATAAATATATAATTATATCAAAATACATTTTATTTATGTGGACTGTGAAAGTCCGAATATTCTAACAATTTTGCTGTTGTTGTTGTGCAAAGGAAACAAGTTGTTGACACAGAATAATGAGATTAAATGAATTTATTTTCTTAGTACCAACTATTGCAAAAGCATTATTGTCTGTTTCTCTACATTAGGTCTTAATTTGATGAGAAGAAGCATACTCTGCTTACAATACAAAATGCAAATTCATAAAGTTACAAGCTTATATTCAAACACAGGTTACAGATGTAAAGTGTAGCACACCATTATTGGACAGTGTATACTCATATGATGATAATGGAAAGGAAAAATAATTTACTATATGCAGAATCAGATGTTTCTAGCAGTAAAAAATTAATTAATCTAGTTATGTAGTATTATCTGGATATTGCTAAGATTCCATTTTTGTCAAAAGTTTAATTAAACAACTGTTAAAATGGCAAAGGTAAAATAAGAATTTTTAAAATTATTCAGTTATATTTATGAGTGTTTGCTGTTCAAATATTTAAAATTTATATATTTGAATAGCAGACACTTTATGTGTTTCACAGGCACCTTGGCACCGACCCCTAGTTTAGACTTTATTGAAGATGTCAATAAGATTACAGAAATAGCTACCTGTAATTGTCCACTTAAGTTCAAAAAAGTATTTGAAGACATGTTACCATTCAAAAAAGATGGCAGGTGGGGCAATTTGAAATGGAATTTGGCAAACGCCTATTATTATAGTAACAATGTGTTTTTCTTCTTGTGTTATGTTCCTAGAACTAAGCCTTCCTTGGTTGACTTTATTGCTATAAATTTGGTCGGTTATACTTTTCTAGCTGAAAAAAGTATACAGTACAATCAACAAAGGAACCTGTTACACTTGATTTATTTTACTTATTTATTTATTTATTTTTGTCTAAATTATCTAGGTTTCGTTTCAGTTACTAGGAATAAAACTATTGCAGATTTGCAGTGGATAATAAATATTTGTATTAATGTCTAATGCTGCAAACATATGATCTTCTACTTTAATTTATATTTTTTCATTTATTGAACGGTCCTAAGGTGTCCATCAAAAACATCATGGGAGAAAATCCAAGGTGAAAACTTCATCAATCCAAGGTGAAAACTTCATCGTAAAAAAACCATAGTCAGGGGAAAAAAGCAAGGAGAAAACTTCACAGCTTTAAAAAAATTGCTGTACAAAATATTTTCATAAGAGAAAATGTGGTGACCAAATTTTGCAATCTAAAACCATTGTGCTAAAAATAAAGCAACTATAAAAGTATTGGATATAAAAAATATCCCCAAAATCCCTCAGATGCATAAAAATGCATATTTATGTGATGTTTTATAGTTGTTTTACTTTTTATCATTTAATTTTCTATTGCAATACTTTCTGCCATGATCTTATAGAACTGGGAAGTTTTCTACTTGCTTCTTCCATTGCGATATTTTGTAAGACATTTTCTCTGCAAAGTTTTCATCCATGATGCTTTCACTGGTTCTAACTTTTTACTGGGGGCTCAGTTGTTTTATAATTCCTAAATACTGGAGTCTCCTTATGAGTTAATATTGTTGTTGCATGTTTAACATTAATTGTTTCAATTTTTCTTTTCCATACAGAAAACAGTGTTCCTAAAAAAAATCAAATCTTGTGCCATAAAATAATTTACAGTATCTGCTGGGACAAAAAAAAAAAAAAAGTATTTCTTACTGAAATCCCATTTCCAAAAGTCTCCCCTTGGTTGCAGATCTGCAAGTCCTCCATAAACCCACATGGCATCATCATGAATTACACAAGAATGATTGTGCCTGGGTGGTGGTTGTGCAAAGTAGCTTGGTGTTCGAATCAAGCTCCACCTTTCTGCACCTATAAAAATAAATCAATAAAGTCCTGATTTCAATTCGAAAATATAGGCAATTTTAAAATTTATGCAGTCGCTTTTCAGCTTTATTAAACTGTTTAATGAAATCTTTATTAAATTACAGAAATCGCTTTTAAACTTTGTATGGACGAATTTTGTCAGCCGCTTGTCCTTATTATAACTAAATTTGACAGCCTATATTGTGACATGCTATTTGTTAAAACATTGTCATAAATATTTTTGACATTTGAAACTAGTGATAGGAAAATAAACTAACGTTTTGGGAACACAGAGTAAAGTAGCTAAACTAAAATTTTATTTAATTTATATCTACAAATCTATGATAAAAATAACATAAAAACATACATAAATCCATTACATTTGGCAGAAGTTGAATAGAAATGTTAATTTATTTATTGACACGTTTAAAAATATTGTTTTCATTATTTCTGAAACAACAACAACAACAAAAAAAAAAAAAAAACTCTTGCAGTTGAGCGTTAAAATCAGGGGTTTTCAAACAAGAAAGAAGGAATTTCATAGTTTCAGGGGGGAATGAGTCAGCCTGACTCCACTTGCTTTCTGCTGTGCCATTAAATTTTTTTTCTGAATCTAAATAAATGTACATGTATTTTTTGAATTTTGAAAAGGAAGGGGGGATGATGTTCTACCAATGGTGAAAGGGGTCATAGGATAAAAAAAGTTGAGAACTACTGGTCTAGATACATAATAATAATAATAATAGTAAAAACAGTAGTTAACGGAAAATTCTTTCTTCAACTGCTGCTGTGAACAGATACATCACATGAAACAGAACAAAACTTTTCACAACTTAAAGTAGATAACTAATATACATAAGCAGAGACATGTAATTTTCGCATTAAAAGAATTAAATTTCTCAAAAATAAAACATGAAAAATGATAATTTCGCATTTGTTCACGAAAATAAACAAACAAATAAGAAATACAAGTCATTGTTTTTTTAACTGTTGAAAGTATATAGAAAAAACAATTGGAAGCTAACATCATTGTAGCTTCAATATTTCCTTCCTTCAATCTTTGTCTTTTATCCGTAAGTACGATATTATAGACACTAAAATCTCATCTTCCTTCAGGCTTTGTCTTATATCCGTTAGTACGAAATTATAGATACTAAAATCTTAATATCCAAGCTGTTAATTGGACTATGAAGGCTTTGAACAGTTGCCTTTGCGAAGTTTTTGTGATAGAATAGAGTTATTAATTAAGAATTCATATAACAGCAACTGACCACTGTAAGAAATTCTTTGTGAAAATGATTGTATCCTTCAATGATCTCGTCTGCTGAATGTCTCAAAAAATGGTATTTTAGAAAAAAGCTTCCCAGTACCAAGTTTGGCTTCAAAGCTGATGTAGAAAGGCTCATCGTTACAGATGGCCGAAATAATCCTCAATTATGCTTATAGGATTACTTTCTTTTTTCGCTGGATAGCAAATGTAGAGTCGCTCATCAGCATCACTTTCGTATTTTTGATTAACTTCACTACTTCAGTTTGTCAAAATATTCCACTCTTGTCTTATATCAAAATAACCACCACTTTACGCTAAAGAGAAGACATCAACTGACTTCATAGTTTGATCCTTCTAAATTCAGAAATGAAAGTCATTTGAATTCATATTTTATAAAAAAGAATTTCATTTTCAAAGCATTCCTTTAAGAAACCGATATTCAAGTTATCATTCTCATATTCATAGAGAATGGCAATAATATGTTCCATGTATTTTAAAAATAATTTATTCAAGTTTTTGTTTATTCTAGAAGAGTAAAATATAGGTAAATTTCTCGTTTATTCATACCTATTTCGTAAATTTGAAAATGTTGTATCCTTCCTTACACACAAGGTAAACTATGCATCTATTAAAAAAAAACACTTCTTTTTTTTTAATAAATATAAATAAAAATCACATATTTTAAGCAATAGTTTCACAGCAATAAAATATTCTTCTCAATTATCAAAATTTGACTTTTTTTTTTTTTTCTTTCCCTCTTTTTGATTTCCCCCCCCCCAGGTACTATACCTGCTCTTCATTTATATAGTAACATTTGTAAGTTTCTTCTCGCGAATGTATGAAATGTTTCCTACACTATTTCAGATAAGTCCCGAGTATTATTTCTCATGATGTCTGGAGGCAGATTGCAATTTTCTAACTATCTTAAACAGTACTAACACCACACCATCGTAGGCACTTACTTCATAAACTTATAGCGTCAGTAGGAAGTTCCGTGAATTCATAAAACATCAGATAAATTGGCATCGCTGCTCCCCCCCCCGCAAATCAACAAGTTTTACGCTTAATTGCATTTCTTTCCTTTCAAGTTTCTGCAGTATAAATATTCACAATAATTTCTGTATTGATTTGACCCGTTAACTACATATAAATTTACAAAATTTTGGTAAAATTATTTAAAGAACATCATTTCTGCGGAAAATCTCTATTACATTATAGAATCAAAGCTATGATATCATACGATGGGTCATCGTATAGGGGTAGGTATCAAGAAATCACTTTCTGTTTTTATCGGATATTACTTTGGTGGGAAATAAAACAGATTATATGATTTGCAAAAGCGTCGATAACAGAGCAGCAGAGTGGTAAGTTTAAAAAAAAATATTCCAGAGAAAACATCCGCCTGTGTAATCAAAACTCGTTTAAAATTCTCTCCCTACCCTTAAGCATAACATTCGTTATTGAGCGTGATCCTTTTAGAGGGGATGGACAAGATGAGTCATTCGTTACCATAGCAGCAGTGAGGGGTGAGATTCCGTGTAGAAAGGAGTGAAATGTCGACCCCTCATGACCACAACCCTGCTTGAAAATTACCGTGTCATATCTAATGCTTACCATAGTCACGAATAATAAGTACCATCTTGAAAAGTAATTGATCTTACATATAAGTAAAGGCTGAGAACATGTACAGGCTGGGCTTGAGATCAGAGTTTCATGCCAAAAAAACGTTCATTTTCGGTTCCATTTCTTAAAAAAACTAAATATTAAATGTAAAAGATGCAGTATTATATTTCTGTCAGAAACGACTCCCTTTAGAATGCCGAAAAAATTAATTTTTAACGCTTTCAATACAAAATACGTAATTAACGCTACATCCCCCTTCTCAATCTTTCACCATTCGTTCACATTTCCCTCATTCATCATTATCTAATAACATTCATTCTTTCATAGCACGTAAGATTTCATAATACATTCTGTTCACGCTGAATACACCTTGATCCCCATCTTCGTCATCAAATCGACAACGAAAGTATATTCTATCACATCCCCCCTTCATTAATAATTGGTTAATTTCTTATATAAATTGTGTGTATGTCAATGCTCACATATCGGTAAATACTTAAAATGTTTACCTATCTAATATTTGAGTTCAGTATCACAGAAATGCCACCTTAAACTGCTGAAAAAGGTTTTACAATGGTTAGTACCGGATCCGCGTTGATTTTTGAATTCAGCTGGGTCATAATCCCAATATAGCTAGTCAAAATATGCATCAGCTATACGGGAGAAAAGAAGAGTTTCAATTTGCTAATTTCGTGAAGACGACGATGTACCTGAAGATTAACTTAGGTCTGGAACGATAAAATGCCTTTGATGATGACATTTTGATGTAGGTAACCGTCTAATATGAAAATAAAAGCTACTGAAATTATTATATGAGCAGGGATATAGTTAGCACTTCCCTGCAATCACCAATGTAAAAACTTAAATATTTTGGACTAAACTTAAACATGGGTTAAATATTTTGGAGTTTGTGAACTCCAAAATATTTAACCCATGTTAAATATTTTTATTAATTTTTATTAATAATATTTTTATTAATTGTTAAATATTATTTATTAAATATTATTATTTTGGAGTTGTGAACTCCGAAATAGCTGTTCCTACTCACAGAAAATACTCATCGTTCAACATAGCTGCGGTGAAGGTCCTACAAAAATATGCCAAGGACCACAAATAGAATTGAATTTTATGAATGAACAACCACAATATACCTCATATTAACACAGCGTCATATAAAATATATTTATATTTTATGGAAACGACATTTATTAGGGACCCAGCTTGTTTCACTCTCAAGAAACGGGCAAGAGAATTTTGTAGCAGAAAAACTTCTTGAAAATGGTGACGCTAACGTCCTTTATCCACAGAAGGCACAAAAAGGAAATAATTGTCACAGAAATGGCAGGTAGAGGAGGACTATTAGCCGTGTAAAAGAAGCTTTGAGTAGTTCCTTTAGCAGCGTAAAATCAGTTGTAAGAAAAGCGTTTAGCATGTTAACGGAGACGCAGAGGATCATGTGAGGATTTCGGAGTTACTTTTCACAATACTTCATTACGATTCAGAAAAGATCTTATATAGATATACGAGTATGGGGGAAGATACTATAGGTAAGTTAATATAGATATAATACTATGGGTAAGTTAATATAGATATAATACTATGGGTACACCGCTTTGATCTTGAAAATAAGCAAGTAAGTATGCTCTGGGAATTGCTCACGTAAGCAAGAAGTGTCATGTGTCACCATCAGTCAAAGACATGGCCATTGCTCTTTTAAATAAATAAGGACTTATGATCGATTATCTTCAACGAGAAAAAGTACATAAAATGGATTAATACGCTCAGTAGTAGCTAAATTGCGAGAAAAAAATTAATATGAAATGAAAGAGAAAGCTGCAGAAATTAATTCTTGATGATCTTAAGAGTCATCTCACCCATCATTTAATGCAATGCCTACAAAAATAGAGTTCCCATTTCTTACTTCATCTATTATATTAGCCACATCCTTGGTCCAAGTGACTTTTTTTTTTTGCACTTGAAATCCCTAACAAAGACCTCTGCTGGATGCGTTTTGCATGCTATGATGGCATTGCTTTGAATACTATCAATGACTAGTTTTTAAATCATGATAAAAAATGTTTCTCCGAATGATTAAGTACTTCAGAAATAACAG